TCGGACTTCGGTCTTCTCCCGAACCAATCACAGTCACATTTGTGTCGGGAGAAAACACCACCAGCTTATCATGATCCGGCGCCATCCCATCAGCACACAGCAACTCATTCAGACTCACTCACACCAACTCACACCACATACACTTTCAGACTTGCATCAATACACAGGACTTACGCAGCTTGGGACTCAGGTCTTCTCCCGATCCAATCACAATCGCGTTTGTATCCGGAGTAAACACCACCAACTCGTCATGATCCGGCGCCGTCCCACCACCAGCGCACAGCAACTCACACAGATTCAAAGAAGGACTTACGGAGTTTCGGACTCAGGTCTTCGCCTGACCCAATGACCGTGACATTGGTGTCAGGAGCAAACACCACCAGCTTGTCATGATCCGGCGCCGTCCACGGCTGCTCCCCATTGACACCCCCGCCAGCACTCAGCAACTCAAGCACAAACTCAAAGAAGCAGAACAGCACACGGACTTACGCAGCTTGGGACTCAGGTCTTCGCCTGACCCAATGACCGTGACATTCGTGTCCGGAGCAAACACCACCAGCTTGTCATGATCCGGCGCCGTCCACGGCTGCTCCCCATTGGCCGGCCCAAACCTGGGGTGCATGATTGGCTGCAGGAACGACAACTTCGGCTGCTCCGTCTTCTTCCAGCTCTTAGCTAAAAGCCCGCCCACTTGCTTGTTCGTCGGGCCCCACGTGAGCCACACCCACCCGGCACTCCTCGACCGAATATACCGCTGAAACTTCTCCAAATACTGCATCTCCTGGAAATCCGAGGACGTGTTATCCACCGAGGGGAACCGGCTGCCCCACTCTGTGACTATAAGGGGGGTGAAGTTCTTCTGAGGGATGAAACCGAACGCGGCGTCCCAGTAAGCCTCGAGGTTCTCTGGGAAGTTCATGTCCTTGAACCAGGGCTTGGTGGGGTCGACGAACGGGCCGAAATCGTTCACTGCATAGGCGAGCTTGTACTTGACCTGTGGGGGGGGGGGGGGGAGGGGGGGGGAGGGGGAGAAAAGAAAGAACGGAAACAGAGGGATGATGGGGAGTTCTTCTGGGGGATGAACCCGAACGCAGCGACCCAGTAAGCCTTGAGGTTCTCAGGGTAGTTGGGGTCCTTGAACCAGGGCTTTGTGGGGTCGACGAATGGGCCGAAATCGTTCACTTCATAGGCGAGCTTGTACTTGACCTGCGGGGAAAAGGGGGGGGGAGGGGGGGAGAAGAGAAAGACCGGAAACAGAGGCATGAGGAGAAGTTCTTCCGGGGGATGAACCCAAACGCAGCGTCCCAGTATCCCTCGAGGTTCTCTGGGAAGTTGGGGTCCTTTAACCAGGGCTTCTTGGGGTCGACAAACGGGCCGAAGTCGTTCACTGCATAGGCGAGCTTGTACTTGACCTGGGGGGGGAGAAGAAAAAGAACGGAAACAGAGGCATGATGGGAAGTTTTCTGGGGGATTATCCATCGCATTGCATTGTCCCAAAATGCCTGGGGTCTTTGAACCAGGGCTTCTTGTGGAAGCCAAGACACAAGATGCCCCCCTCCACATGTACTGCGTGCCGTGCCCAGCCCTTGCACAATGAGACGCACATGAGCCAGGGGTCTGAGACGCACTGCACACAGCCACTCTCGACCGAACCCAACCTAGCCAGGCATGCTCAGATCAGAAGCACATCCACCATCTCACTATCACTCTCACCTTGAGCTTCAGCGGGTGCGCCATCACCCCCCTCTGGTCCGCCCCCCTCCATGTGTACTGCGTGCCCAGCCCTTGCACGATGATCAGCAAGTCAGACCGTGGGGACTGAGACGCACCTCTTACAACCACTCCCAACCGAACCAAACCTCAGTGATCACATATCCCTCACTCTCTCACCTTGAGCTTCAGCGGGTGCGCCATCACGCCCCTCTGGTCCGCCCCCCGCCACGTGTACTGCGTGCCCAGCCCTTGCACTATGATTAGCAACTCGGGCCGTGGCAATTTGAGACGGACTGCACACAACCGCTCCCAACCGAACCCAACCTCAACAGGCACACACAGAGTTACATAAACCTTCAAATTATCAGAGACTGACCTTGAGCTTGAGTGGGTGCGCCATCACCCCTCTCTGGTCCGCGCCCCTCCACGTGTACTGTGTGCCCAGCCCTTGCACGATGATCAGCAGGTCGGGGTTGACTGTCTGAATGGCATCCGCGGCCCTGCTCAGGCACAGACGAGAGAAGACAACGATGGGAAGATATAAGGTACGAGCAGACGTTGTCCCCCACCCGCCACTCATCCCAGCACCACCATCACCAGGTCAATCCTATAGGATCTACCCTCCCCTCTCCCTTCCCCCACACCAACACACCTCTTAGCAGCGGTGCGCCAGTTGTACGGCTCCCCCACGTCACCACCCGCCCATCACATCACTCATCCCAGAATTGCCGGCACCATCAGAGCCATCAGTACCCACCAGCACCAGGTGATCCCCACTAATCTTACCCTTCTTCCTCCACACAAACGCACCTCTTAGCAGCGGTGCGCCAGTTGTACGGCTCCCCCACGTTGTCCCCCGCCCATACAATATCCGGGTGCGACGGGTGGTTGTGAATCTCGTTGTATAGATCGACCTGGTAGGAGGGAGAGAGAAAGGGAGAGGGTAGGATGAGAGGGAAGCGAGCTGCAGCAGCACTCGCCCACGTTGTCCCCGGCCCAAATGATATCCGGGTGGGATGGATGGTTGTGTATAGGTCGACCTGGTAGGAGGGAGCGCAGGGATGGGAGGCGGAAGAAGAATGACACGTGGTGAGAAGGAGACAGCAGCAGCACTCGCCGACGTTGTCCCCCCGCCCATATGATATCCGGGTGCGGAGGGTGGTTGTGAATCTCGTTGTATGAATCGACCTGGTGAGAGGGGAGAGAAAGTGGAAGGAGAATGAAGGATAATTTGTATATAGCTAGGACGCGATGAGAAAGGGGTGCGACGGGTGGTTGTGGATCGGTGGCACTGTGGGGAGGGGAGTGGGGAGGAAGAGGGGGAGAAGCATGAGAGAAGGGCGAGCGACGGAGCAGGAGGGAGCAGGATGGAGGGACAGCAAGAGAGAGGGACCCACACCGACGCGGGCACATCCCAACCAAGACTCACCCCAACAACCGTCCTGTCCCCAATGTATCGCTGGGCCAGCTTGAGCCAGTTGCCGATCCACACGGCCTCGGAGTACCCCGCGTCCCACCACACGCCCAGGTCGTCCTCGTAGAGAGGAGGCAGGGCGCAGGAGAGACAGACACACAGAGGGATAGAGGCACCCACACCAACGCAGGCAACCAAGACTCACCCCAACAACGGTCCTGTCCCCGATGTATCGCTGGGCCAGCTTTAGCCAGTTGCCGATCCACACGGCCTCGGAGTGACCCGCGTCCCACCACACGCCCAGGTCGTCCTCGTAGAGAGGAGGCAGGGCGCAGGAGAGACAGACACACAGAGGGATAGAGGCACCCACACCAACGCAGGCAACCAAGACTCACCCCAACAACGGTCCTGTCCCCGATGTATCGCTGGGCCAGCTTTAGCCAGTTGCCGATCCACACGGCCTCGGAGTGACCCGCGTCCCACCACACGCCCAGGTCGTCCTCGTAGAGAGGAGGCAGGGCGCAGGAGAGACAGACACACAGAGGGATAGAGGCACCCACACCAACGCAGGCAACCAAGACTCACCCCAACAACGGTCCTGTCCCCGATGTATCGCTGGGCCAGCTTTAGCCAGTTGCCGATCCACACGGCCTCGGAGTGACCCGCGTCCCACCACACGCCCAGGTCGTCCTCGTAGAGAGGAGGCAGGGCGCAGGAGAGACAGACACACAGAGGGATAGAGGCACCCACACCAACGCAGGCAACCAAGACTCACCCCAACAACGGTCCTGTCCCCGATGTATCGCTGGGCCAGCTTTAGCCAGTTGCCGATCCACACGGCCTCGGAGTGCCCCGCGTCCCACCACACGCCCAGGTCGTCCTCGTAGAGAGGAGGCAGGGCGGGCCCGATGCGCGTGTTGGCGAGAATGACCCTCAGCCCACGGTCGCGACACGCCTTCACTACAGCATCGATTGCTTGAATCACCGTGAGGTTCTGGAAGGAGGGGAGATGGGAAGGGAAGAGTGCGCGAGTTGGCGAGAATGACCCTCAGCCCACGGTCGCGACACGCCTTCACTACAGCATCGATTGCTTGAATCACCGTGAGGTTCTGGAAGGAGGGGAGATGGGAAGGGAAGAGTGCGCGAGTTGGCGAGAATGACCCTCAGCCCACGGTCGCGACACGCCTTCACTACAGCATCGATTGCTTGAATCACCGTGAGGTTCTGGAAGGAGGGGAGATGGGAAGGGAAGAGTGCGCGTGTTGGCGAGAATGACCCTCAGCCCACGGTCACGGCATGCTTTTACTACAGCGTCTATTGCTTGAATCACGGTCGGGTTCTGGAGGGACGGGCGGAAGAGGGGACGGAAGGGAGGAGGGAGAAAAACAAGGGCCAAAAGGTCAGCGAAGTGAGCGAGTCAACGGGTCCCACCACATGCCCAGGTCGTGGTGAAGGGAGAATGAGAAAGTAGACCTCGGCCCAACTGGTCAGAAAGACAACAACCACCGCACCGCACTCCACCTTGAGGTCCGGATTCAGGTCGAAGTCAATAGCCTCGCGCGCTGGCGTCCTCTCGTCGCACATGAGGCACTCCATGGAGAAGGGAGGGCAGGCGCACCACGCTGAACCCCACAACCAGATTAGACCGCATAAAACCGCACGATACACCATGCCGACAGCTGACAGGCTCACCTTGAGGTCGGGGTTGGGATCAAAGTCAATGGCTTCTCTGGCAGGCGTCCTCTCGTCGTAGATGAGGCACTCCGTGGAGAATACAAGGGCAGGCGGGCGCACCACGTTGAACCCCACCACGCCCTGGCCTAGGCTGTGCTTCCCTTGACTTGACAATGCACCTCGCTCACCTTGAGGTCGGGGTTGAGATCAAAGTCAATGGCTTCCCTTGCAGGAGTGCGCTCGTTGTACATGAGGCACTCCGTTGAGACTACAAGGGCAGGCGGGCGCACCACGTTGAACCCCGACCAGATTGAAACGCACACCCAGGTTCAACCACCACCAGGCACCTTGCCAATGCCACCAGCGCTCACCTTGAGGTCCGGGTTGAGGTCAAAGTCGATGGCTTCCCGCGCGGGCGTCCTCTCATCGTACATGAGGCACTCCGTGGAGAAGGGCAGGCGCACCACGTTGAACCCCTCGCCCAGATTAGACCACACAAAACCGCACCATACAACTTGCCGACGGTAGTAGGGCTGACCTTGAGGTCGGAATTCAGGTCAAAGTCAATGGCTTCGCGTGCGGGCGTCCTCTCGTCGTACATGAGGCACTCCGTGGAGAATACAAGAGCATGCGCACCACCACGTTGAACCCCGCGCCCTGTCCCGTACCGTTACATGGAAGAAGGCCTAGAGCAGTGTCAGACGCTCACCTTGAGGTCGGGGTTGAGATCAAAGTCAATGGCTTCTCTGGAAGGCGTCCTCTCGTCGTACATGAGGCACTCCGTGGAGAAGGGCAGGCGCACCACGTTGAACCCCGCGCCCTGGATCTTATCCAGGTGGTCCGCATAGGACAAGCCGCTGCCGCCCGCTATGCCGTCCACCACACAGTTCTCCGTGTCAAAGCCATTCCACGTGACTCCAGAGAACTTGATCTGGAAGGAGTGTGAGGGGGAAGGGGACATGGGGGCAAGGGAGGGAGTGGAGAGAGAGGGGGGATGAATAAGAGAGCAAGGAAGGCGCTGATTCTCCGTGTCAAAGCCGTTCCACGTCACTCCAGAGAATTTAATCTGCAGGCGGGTGGGGAGAGGAAGGAGGGGAGGGAATGAGGAGGGTTGGGAGTGGAAAGGGGACTTGGAAGAAACGAACAGAGAACGTGGCAGCTCTGCGTGTCGAAGCCATTCCACGTCACTCCAAAGAATTTAATCTGGAAAGGAGAGGGGAGGGCATGTGGGGGGAGGGGGGAAACGTACGGAGGGGGAGTGGGGTGGAAAATCGGGGGAGGACGAAGGGAGGAGGTATCATCAGTGGACCTTGATTTGGTGGGCGGGGAATCAGTGGATCCCTTGGCTCGACATGTCTCATACCCGCTACCAGCGCTCACCACGCGCCCCTCACTCCTCGGCCAGCAGCTGGTTATCCACGGCGAGCCATGTTCTTGCAAACCCCATACAATCACATGCCCCATACAATCACATGACCCATACAATCGCATGCCCCACATGCCCCATACAATCACATGCCCCATACAATCGCATGCCCCATACAATCGCATGCCCCATACAATCGCATGCCCCATACAATCGCATGCCCCATACAATCGCATGCCCCATACAATCGCATGCCCCATACAATCGCATGCCCCATTACCCTTTTTACAATCGAGTGCTCACCACGCGAGCCTCCTCCTCCAGCAGCTGGTTATCCATGAGCACCCAGTACCCGTACCCCAGCTCCCGCAGCAAACCATGCTGTTGCATGCCCCATGCCCCTACATACCCCACTCCCGTTGTAATCACATACCCCATACCCGTTATAATCACATGCGAGACTCACCACGCGCCCCTCCTCGTCCAGCAGCTGGTTATCAACGGCGAACCAGTACCCGTACCCCAGCTCCCGCAGCAACCACTGCTGTTGCATTCCATTGCATTCCCCATACCCCTTATAGGCACATGTCCCGAACCCGTTATAAGCACTCACCACGCGCCCTTCCTCGTCGAGCAGCTGGTTATCCACGGCGAACCAGTACCCGTACCCCAGCTCGCGCAGCACGCGCCTTCGCGGGGATTCAGCGGACCCCTCCCCACCAGCACCGCCGCTACCCGCCCTAACAACAGCGTTAGCAGCGCTGTCAGTTCTATCAGCGGCGGCCATCCTTAAATACCCTTGCCCTTTCTCCCCCGCCTCCTCCTCCTGTTTCTGCTCCTGTTGCGGTTGCTGCCCTTCCGTCCCCGCCTCCTCCCCCGTCTGGCCCTGCTGCTGCTCGTCAACCATCGGTGCCACGTCATCTACCGTGACGTCAGCAGGCTGGACGTTCTGCGCGGCCACGTCTTCCAGCACGGCGTCCACGACTTCCACGTCAGAGACGCTCTCATCCACGTCAGCATCGGGGAGTTCCACCTCAGCAAGCTTCCGGGAGTGGTCTGCGTTGGCAGCAGCATCCTGCAGGAGTAGCACACGTGGATGAAGGGTAGTGGGGAAGGGACTTTTGAGAATTCTAAAAACTGTGGAGGAGGGGACGAGTACCGACCGGACACGTGGATGAAGGGCAGTGGAGGAGGGAGGGGACGAGTACCTTCAAGACACAAGAAGAATTTTCGAATTCAAAAAAGAGCAGAGATAAGGCGGAACGCGGGTGGCGGAACGAGAAGAGCGAAATAAGACTGGTGAGATGCGAAAGACAGTGAGAGAAGGCTAAAAAATGCGGAGGAGAGAAAATCGGAGAGAAGGCGAGAGAATGCGAACCTGATCACCGGCATCCACCAAAGTCGTCACGCCGCCGAGATCCGTCCCTGAAACAACCAGACAGGGAACAAAACAGAAAAGGAAATCAAACATTGAGTTTCGAGACGTCTCAAATCACGCCGCTGAGATCTGTCCGTGAAACAATCGGACAGTAAAGAAAGCAGAAAAGGGAACTAAAAATTGTGAACGAGCGGTGACTGCGACATGGGATGGCGGAAAACGCGCCAGAAAACGGAACAAGGAATAGGGTGGTTCGGACATCAACGGTCGTGACGGGATCGTACGTCAAGAGACGCGTGAGGTTGAGTTGAGCAGAACACAACGGGGTTCCGTCAGAGAGTTTGCGAGTATGTCGGGTGAGGCGAGTCGAAACCCATGCACGAGTGCCTTCAAAGCGTTTTGTTTTTTCTTTTTTCTCTCTCTCTCTCTCAAGGCGCGGTAAAAGTCAAGCCGACACCATGAGGGTGAGGCAACTCCTGGACGGCCGTCGAATGATGTCAAACGGGAATGAAGTCGCTGATGGAAACAATTATACGAGAAGGTCGATTCTACGAGGTCGACTCTAGGAGGTCATAATCCCAAGAAGAATTAAGCTCGAAATCTTTTACTTGTGATAATCATTCTGTGGGCTGATCATTCTCAACTGACCTTCAGCAAACACGGTGACTACGGGAATTATGGACAGTAAATGGTATATAACACGTCACGGCCTTCTGCAAGCGTTCACCCGCAATCAGGGTGAACGTATTTGCGCCGTCTATCACGCACGGGACACCTATTGAATTGTCGTCGTCTAAAAAACATTCGCCTACGTTCTAGAAGGATAACTCCACCGAAACAGAAGATTATTCCAATATCGCGAACGCCTAATTCACGCATCTAGCAAACGTTGCGGGTATAGAAACGACAATTGAGGCACCTAACCCACCGAAGCAGAACATTGTTCCGATATCACGAAGGCCTGATTCACGCGTCTAGCACAGACGACGCCGTTAATTGATTCGGCTCAATCTGTTTCGTTCCGAAAACGCATGCTGTACAAATAACAGTGCGACTTACTAGAGAGGACACTGTGCGTTGTGTTGACTCACACAACCTACTGGAACATCGCTCGTTTCCAACTAACGGTCGTATCCTACTCGAGAAGTGTCATCTGGGGAAAATGACATCAGAAGTGAACAGGTCGCAGTCGTGCGTCGAGTCGAATCTATCCACAACCCACTCTCGACGCGAAGCCACGATAGTACACCCGTCGTTTCTCCTCTTTGAGTCGTACTAAAGAATGATACCGAATTCTAATCAGCATACCCGGTCGGAACATCTCTCTTTCCCATTCAGCGAGTCGCAGCCCACTCCAGGAGTAATAACGACGTACCCGGCTTGAACATCTCTCTGACTTCCCCGGCCGTGGGAGGGACGCAGCGCGCCAGATGCTGTCGTAGGTTCAGTCGGCTCAATCTACAGCGTCGCAAATTCTGTAAGAGAGACGCACCTGGTCGGAACATCTCTCGGACTTCTCCGGCCGTGAGAGGGACGCAGCGCGCCCACACGCCATCGCCACGGTGGCATCCTGTGACGTCATCCGGGTCCACGGGCTCGTCGGCCGCCAGAAGCTCCCGCGAAGCTGCGTCTGCTGCGGGAAACGAGGAGCTGAGGAGGACGGCTGAGAGCAGCAGCGCGGAGAGACCTAGGAGGAGCCATCCATGAATGGACGGATGCTGGGTCCGACGCGACATAACTACTACGCACTGCCAATAATAGCGTAACGGATCACGATTCTTAGCGAGGATGCAGGTCTCTAGTTTTCTAAATTCCTCACTAGCTGGGACTAGCGCTAACGTCCTTGCGCTGGGTCGAAGCTTGGCTGGTTGTCGTTCCCAGATTACCGATTTCCCCACCAACCGTATCTCTCTCTCTCACTCTCTCCTCTCTAGCCTTTCCCCAGTTCCGCGAGTGACGGGAATTTGCGAGCCTGGGAAGGGGCTTCGTGTATGTTACAAGTGTCAGTCAAGTCTCGTCATCTGTAGTCGCCGTCGCGCCCTTCTCTAGGGTTTGCTTTTAGAATCTCCTCTCATGTCCAGTCTAGCCCAGACTCCCCTAACCCGCTTCCTTCCATTCCCCCTCCCCTCCCGCAACCAAGCCGTTCGACATTTCTATCACTCTGTGACAGTATCGAGCGCTTCTAAAAGTTGCCAGGAATTTCTGGTTCGCTGAACCAGTCAGATGCCCACATCCAATTGACAAGATTCCTCCCGCCGACGCTGAACACCCAAAAGACCGAGCCGAAGCTGACTGGTTTGGCAGCTGTCGGAGGTCTTCTCTGAGCGACCTGACTGCTTGGTTTGGTTCGTGTCGGCCTGGAATTGAGTTCGTAGCGCTGTTCTGGAGGGAATGACGGAGCGCCCTGGTTTCGGGTTTCCGATTCCTTTGGGCAGTGGTTTTGACAGCGCCTCGCTTCGCGCTCGCGTCCGATACCTTCGGTCAGTAAATTACGCTATTTTCCCATTTGGAGTCCAGAAACTACAACTTTGTTTTATTTAATGGGACAAAAAATATAAACCCCTCACGGGGGGGACGCCGTCAGTGAGGCATCAACCCTAAACACCATGAGGCAAGGTGTTTAGGGTTGATGCCTCCCTAATGGCCAGCCCTCCGAAAGGGGTTTATTTTTTTTCACTGGCCACTAGACTAATACCAGGTAACTTTAATAATTTTTCTGGTCACCGGAAACTGGAAATGTCGAAATCAGCTGCCCCAAGGAATCGGACGCGAGCGGAAAAGCGAGGCGGTGTCAAAGCCATTGCCCAAAGAAATCGGAAATCCGAAACCGGGGCGGTTCGTCATTTCCTCGCTGTTCTGCTGAGCGGGTCACCGTCACGGCCACTACAATTCACGGTTTGTGCTCCGCTGTGTGCAGGTTGGGCAGGCATGGCAGCAGCAAAATCTTTCGGGCTGTGATGGAGGGGGCTGGTGGCAAGTTTCCATGTGATTCGCGCCAGTCTCGGCGTCGCGGGTTCACAGGCTCGATAAAATCCTTGTTAGTGAGTATTCTTACAAAACAAAACATTTTTTCCTCGCTGCAGTAACCACAGCAGAAGTTTTAATGATGAATTTTATTCTAGCTGTTCATTGCCATCCACTACGCCCCTCAATTGTTTTGAGTAGAAAGACAAAAAAGCTGCGAGAAAAGGTAAAAAACGATATATCATACAATATCTTAATTCCTTTTTGATCGAGAACATCTATGAGCTTTTTCCAACTACATTTGCAAACTCGAAACCTTATGCAGGTGTAGCATTTGACTCTAGGATGACATGCTTTGCTGAGCGCGCCTCCATACAAGCCTCTGCTGAACTGCCCACGACATCAGTGCTTGGCTCCTCACACTATCCCCGCTTTGAACAGCTCCACTCACACCTGGACCCTGAACCCTTATTGCCCAACTGTTCTCGTAACTCGAACTTGATAATGATATTATTTGGCCCACACTCGCGCCTGAATCGTGTGATGTCAAAGCACCGCAAGCTGCCTGTTGACCCGTCAGCGATGCAGGAATGGTTCCAGTGACGACTTGAGGATAGGTCGGTCGGTCGCGCTGGTTACTCATTCGTGTCGGGGATTTCACGTTAGGTCGCGTTGCTGCCGGAACCGCCGCTACCGGCGACGAAGTAAAGCCGTCGCCATGCATGCTGACAACGCATCCACCGCCACAGAACGACGCGCCACGCGCAGGGGATTCCCATCGCAAAAATCTCCTCGCCATAGCTTGCGGCCAAAGCACAGCCGTCTCGTCCGTCCCGATCATGTGCGCGCTGCGGCTTCGACGATGACAAGGCGACGAGACATTCGCGTTCCGAGCAGACGCCACTTCCATCGTTGATCTGAGTGGGGGAGTGATTTCCATCCGCGCACTGCGGATGCCTTCATTAGTAGTTCTAGCCTTTACGAGAGTTGTTCCTTCTTTCGCAACTTCCGCGGACATGCCAACGCCGGCGACTGTGTCAGTAAACGCGAGTCCACTTTTCGCCGATTCGATGTCCTTTGACCCAGTAACTGAAGCTTGTTTCGCAGTCGCGGCCGTGGAATGATCTGTTACTGGGATACCGTCAAACAAGATCCTGGCTGTGAGCGGCACCGACCTTCCAACGTCCGAATAAAACGTGTAATCTCCATGAACGGCGGTGTTAAAGGTGGAAGGCAAACTAGCTGACCTTCGAAGCGACTGATCCTCGCGGCGCGCAGTTCCCAGGGTTTGCTTGTTCCAGGGGCTCGCCTCGCGCACATACTGACGAGGACTGGGATTTGGAGTGAAGCGGAAGGCGCGGTCCCACGACTGCAGCTCCCGACGCGGCCTGCTGCTCGGCATGCTTTTAGCTGGTGAAGCGGATCGCTGGATAGTAGCGCTTTGTCCGCTGGCAGCGCCGTGACTAGCGGCGAGATTAGGGAATACTTTGGGAGACAACCCATGGAACGATGTTTTGGCCGTTCGCTCTTCACCTGATGGCTTGATTGGTGACCGGGTGAGGTACGGAATGAGGCGGTTTCGTCGCTCCGCGAGTGAAAGGCCCTGAAGTTCCGACGAGGGTGGTAGCTTCGGTTTCTGCTGAGAGATTTCTTTCGCCATGGGGAAAAAGAGATTCGAAGATAACAATAATCAACGTCGCACGACTCCTAGGATGATGCTACCTTGGTAAGGCTTGGTTGGAATTACAACTTCGAATGGCGTATTCTCGACGGGCCGAGTTTTCAAGTTATATGCCTGGTGCCGTGAGACTGGGAAAGGCGCTTCGGAGCGGAGCAGGAGCAGCACCGTTGAGTCAAAGTCTAAAAGCGGATGTGGGCTGGTTGACGGGAACAATCGAAGAGATATGCTGAGCTATCTGGTGCAGATCAATCTCCTGTTATTTATGTCGAAATCAACAGACAGGAATGACTATACTAGCACAAAGTTGGATACAAGTAGGAAACCCTAATCTAGTGTACCCCCTAAGGTGTAACCCACTACAGCCTACAATCATATAAACATATAATGTTTGACACACCCCCATAGGCGCAGTGGGAGACAACCAGAGGGTCACGAGACCAGTCAAAGCAAAGAAAGGCAAGCTCAGGGTGGATCTCAAGGATTCCACACAAATTCCGAGCACAAGCAAGCGGTCACAAGACCAGTCCACATGCAGGTTTATAATAGAGCAAGAGATACAGTGATCACAACCTAGCAAGAGTGAACATGCAGGTATACATATATATATAGTGATCACAGTACAAGCAGGGTCAAGAAGTAAGCAAATGAGGTCCAGTAGGCACAAGGCCTAGCAGAGTGCAGAAGCGCTGATGGTCACAAGGCTGAAGCGCCTTGGTGAACACATCAGCAGTGTTGGCCTCAGTGGCCACGTGACGAATACAAAGCTGACCGCGCTGCTGCAGCTCTCGAGCAAGGAAGTACCGCAGGGCGATGTGCTTCGTTCTGTGCTCCAGTCTGTGCTCCTCACACAAGGCAATGGCAGCCTTGTTGTCGACGTACAGCACTGGAGGAGAACGAGGCCGCTCTCCCAGGTCGGTCAGCAGGTAGGTCAGCCAGCGTAGCTCCTGGGCAGCCATGGCTGTGGCGTAGATCTCAGCCTCACAACTGGAGCTGAGAACAGAAGAAGAGCGTGTGGAACGCCAAGAAACTGAGCCAGAGCCAAGGCTGAAGGTGTAACCCTGAGACGACCGCTGAGTAGCCTGGTCGTCAGCCCAAGAGGCGTCTGAGTGTCCTGTGAGTACAACTCGGTCTCGCCCTCCAAGCACTAGCCCCATGCCCGACGTACTGCACAAGTAGCGCAACACCCTCTTAGCGGCATCCATGTGCTCCTTCCTGTGACGGCCAGGAGCGACATAGCGTGCAAGGATGCTAAGAGGGTATGCCAGGTCAGGTCGAGTGCAGGTCATCAGGTACATGAGACAGCCCACAAGCTCTGGATACGGGCCACTCGGCTCTACGGACTCATTCGAAGGCAGAGCTGAGAGCGAGTGACCGGTAGGCAGAGGAGTGGACTGAGGCGAGGAGTACGTGAAGCGGAAGCGCTGAAGGATCTGCTGCACCATGTGTGACTGAGTCAAGGTGATGGTGCGTCGTGCTCTGTCCCGGGTGATCCGCAAGCCAAGATAGCTCGTCAGTTCCCCCAGGTCTGTGCACGTGTGTCTCCTCTGCAGCTCCGACTTCACGTGGGCGAGTGCCGCGGTGTCAGCAGTGGCAAAGACCAGGTCGTCGACGTACACGAGGATGTAGAACGGCGGCAGCGAGGTGTCTGTGCGTAGAAACAGTGACGGGTCAGCAGTAGAGGGAGCGAACCCTAGAGCCGCAAGTGTCGTCCTCAGTGTGTCGTGCCACTCACGCGGTGCCTGGCGGAGACCCAGTGAAACCAGGAGGGCGACGCAGCCAGATCTCCTCGTGCAGGCTGCCCTGCAAGAAAGCAGTGCTGAAGTCAAGTGAGTGAAGCTCGTAGTCGCGCTGAGCGGCTATGTGCAGCAGCACCCGAAGAGTGGTCATCTTCGGGGTGGGGGAGAAGGTCTGGAAGAAGTCAACTCCCTCTCGCTGGCTGAAGCCTCGAGCAACGTAGCGCGCCTTGAAGACAGGAGGAGAACCCGGCGGCCGCTTCACCCTGAAAATCCACATGCCACTGATGATGTTCGCCCCAGGAGGGGGAACCTCGTCAACGTAGGTGCGTGTGGACTTCCAGGAAGCCATCTCTGC